TTTAAATCTTTTATCTCTTTGTTTGGTACAGGGTCTCACTACGCAACTTGTACTCATAGTGATCCTCCTGTCTCAGCCTCCCTAGTGCTGGGATTACAGACGAGCGCCACCATGCCTGGTTTTGGTGGCTGGCATGGTGCACCTGGGGTTCCAGGCTGGCACAGCATGTGGTACCAGGGATCAAACCCAGGTCCTTGTCCTTGCCAGTCAGGCACTTAGACTGCTGAGCTATCTCCCCAGCCCCAAGATTCAGCCTTTATAAAAGGAGTACACAATGCGAAATGGTTGCAACTTCCTATTCCAATCAAGATATCATATCAAATTGTAATATAAAATGGAAATGCATGTGATAACCTATCAGGGAGCATGGCTAGACTCTAGAAGCATTTTGGAAGGGACTCAGGAAGGAAAACAGTGCAGGGGGAGGAAAAGTGATAATATAAAAAAAAAGACATCTTACGAAAGATGGGCACTGCAAAGTAACTGGTCATCTCCCATCTTCCTTTTACTCAATAAACACTCTTCTCAAAACTGACCCAAGAATTTCCTGGGGATGGTGGTGTGACTGCTCATCAGAGGAATTGGGCAGAGAGTATTTTCACAGCAGGACCCATTACTTCTGGAAAGCTAGGCCTTTTAAAAACATTTTGATTGGTACAGGGTCTCACTACACAGCCCAGATTCCTAGTGATCCTCCTATCTCAGCCTCCTCAGCACTGAGATTACAGGTGTGCACCACCATGCTTGGGATTCAGGGGCCAGCAAGCATGCGATACTGGGGATAGAACTTGAGTCCTTGAGCTTACCAGGTAGGTGCTAAGACCACTGAGCTGTCTCCCCAGCCCAAGCTAGGCCATTTTTAACCTAGCATTCCTTGCTAAGAAGCTATTGCAAATGATTCTGAGGGACTAAGAGTTTGAAGAAAGGAGATAACTGCTCTGTTTCAAACATCCTGAGTCACTACTGCTGCCAGCACGAACTCCACTTCGCTATTACAGGACTCATAACTGGATGACATCTCTGCTCTTCAGGGGCAGGGAACTGCTTTACTGTCACAGAGCTTTCTGCCTCTTAAGAACTGATGATTTATGGCTGGAGTGAATGTAACAGGGTGGGGGGTTGCCCCAGTGACAGACAAGATGAATGGGTGAGAAGAAGATGGCAAGACAGCGGGAGCAGAAACTCTAGGACGGCGATGGTGAGCCTTTTAGAGCTTTCAGTGATACAAACAGCCTGCTGCAGCACGTGTGCTGTAGGTTACCACCACTGCTCTAGGAAACCTCTCTGGAGAAGTTTACTGGGACCCCTTACAGTGAACCCAATCTTATGTTTATCTTCAACCCTCTCTGAGAACCTTGGCACTAACAAAATGAGCCATTCCTATCAACCTAGCTATGATTAAAGCTGTGGAAAACAAAAACCAAGAGGAATATATATATATATATTCCTAGCCACCAGAGGGCTCTATAAAGCACAATAATCTCAACTCAGTCCCACAGTGAAGACCTCATCCTCTGCACACCAGATTCAATGAAGCCTGTAAGATATTTAGTGAAAGAAGCCAATCTAATAGGCTACATACTGTGAAATTCCAATTATGACATTCTGAAAAAATCAAAAGTATGAAGGTGAAAAGATCAGTGGTTTATAGGAGTTAGAAGATAAAGAAGAATGATTTTTATTACGGTGAAATGCTTCTTTATGATACTGCAGTGGCAGACATATGTTACAAAACCCATAGAAGGTACATCAAGAGTGAGTTGAAGTATAAACCCTTCTTTTTCTTTTAGAAATGCTTGGGATAAATCTTCGGGCTTTACAAATGCTAAGCAGGCACTTCACCACAAGCCATACATGCTCCCCACCTCCACCCGATTCCTTGTTTCCTTTCTGCAAATAGGCTTTACTTTTTTGAGAAATTTAGACTCACTGCAAAATCGCAGGAAACCTGCCTTCTACTGCAAAGATGTGACATGCTTAAGCAAGACCGCCTGATCCAGGCATGAACTCCCATGGTCATGCATTGATCGCTTGGACATCTGAGAAAGACTATCCAGGGAAACACCTATTAAAAGTTCAATTTTCTATTGCATTTTGAAACACCTGAAAATTTCAAGGGATCTCTTTCTCACTTTCTTCCCTCAAAGAGCTCCCTTCTTCTTTCCTGTGTAACTTTCTTGGGGAGGGAAGTTCTTATTCCTTCTTGATAAATGTTCTGATGGTGTGGCAGCCTTGTCCCTCTCTCAGGACAGCAGTGTGACTATAATACACACAATTCAGACGGCCATGAGACCTCCATAGATAAAAGCATTTCTCTCACTGTAAAGCATCATCATTTCTATAATGCTCAGCATCTCTATCACCATCTACCTTGCTTTCTTCTTCAACTGATTCAGAAAGCAGAGAGGAAGAAAGCAGTTATTTAGGGGACTATTCAAGCCCAACCAAGGCCAACTAGAGTCTTCTCAGAAGCTTCTGGAGCAAATGCTCAGTGGCTCTGTGTTATCCCCTTGCCTTGCCGAGGCTTTTGGATGATGAAGTCACTGTTGAAGATAGGTTGCGTGCCCAGGTCCAAACTTGCATGGGATTCCTCCACTGGAGTCTTTGTTTCAACACTTCTGGGTCTACAGAGCAATCGCACTGAAGGCCCTGCTTCCCACACAGGGTCTGTACTCACCTTCTTGATCTCCACGCAAAGGCTCACTAGACATCAGGGCAGGCTCAAGCTCTCGAGTATGTTTTCATCCAACCACAGAAAGCCTTTCTCCCTCTGCCCTGGCATCTTCTACTCATCATATTTTCCTGTCCTCATCTAACATCTCTCAGTGCTCTGCAGAGGCCAAATCAAACACGACTTCCTAGGGAGAGCAAGTAATCATGCACAGGAAGTATCCCAAGACCTCCCTTGCAACGTCACATGATATCTGCCAGCTTCACACCTCAGGCCTGGGGCTTTGGCTTCTTTAAAAGGTTTTCTAGATATTCCAAACATGCAGGGCCACATGAGCTACAAAACAGCAGCTTTGGTCAAGCCACAGGACTCACTGTGGAGAGTGATAAAACCAGGGCTGCCTAGGATCCCCGGGTCATGACACTTCTATAGCCACAAACAGAGGTGCCAGAACAGTGTCCAATCTAAAGTTTTCTGATCTTCCTCAACCCACTCATGTCCACATAAAATCCATTGCCTCACCAAGTCTTGCTATTATGTCTCTTGATACTCTTCCTTCACTTCAGTCTCCTCCAGTTCTTTTGTGGGTCATTGGCATCTCTAATAGCAAACACTACTGAGCTCTCCTGCCCCTACTGTCCATCCTCAGATGTCACTGCCACAGGGACACAGTGTACACCAGGCCCAGCACCTGTTTCTCATGACCGCACAGCACGAGGATGCAGATGCTTGTGTCTGGCAACACTGTGTTCCCATGCTGATAACTAGCAGCAAAAGCCCCTTCAGCACACCATGCTGTCCTCTCCTCAGCCAGAACTGCAAACACTACAGGTGCTTGCCTTCTCTGTTGGAAAGGACTGGGTGAACGGGTACACCTGAAGCTCCTGGCATGACACTCTGGCCTCCAGTAAGTGCTCCACATATGGGTACTGCTTAGTATGTTTCAAAGGTAAACCCGTACAAATTATGGTCCCAGAAGACCTTTTGTATCAATCCACAGAATGAATGCAACTCCCTCATCTAGCAGCTCTTTCCCTGTAGTCCATAAAAAGGAAATGTCCTTGACTTCTCCCTGGAACATTAGAATTTTATTGTTACCTCTAGTGTCCCAGTCTCCAAATTATAAAAAGAATACTGAGAGTTTTACGTATTTTCAGAAAGTCTTTCATTAGGAGACAATACTCTAAAATACCATAGAGGTGGTAGGTTGCTTTCTCAAGTCAATATGTTTTGATGTCTATATTTCTAAGAACAAACAAAAAATTTCCAACCTAAAATACACTGCTGCTTTGAATACCCACACAATACTCTCCTCAAATGCACCAGAAGAGGGCGTGCCTGCATCACAAAGCTGGTGCCAATCCCCTTGGAGGGTCAGTCACTTGTTCCAGAATTGCTGGTCCAATGAGAGTATTTTCTTGTAATTGCCAGATGCCCAGGAGATGGAAGTAGCTTTTCACCAATACTTCTCCTAGGCACTGCCTACATTTATTATTACCAAAATGGTTTCTTCTATGATTTTCACAGGACCTAGATTCTAACAGCAGACTACAAGATCTCAGTTACCTCAGTTTCAAGTTGAAGGGTCCTCGGCACACTCTGACTCCCCTGACCTGGATTGAGCAGAGGTGGGCACAGTGCCGAGGAGCACACACACTGCACCCGGGCTGCCTACATGTGACACTTGCTGTGTGTAATGGCCTGGTTCCCTCATCTGTAGCATGGGAACAACCAGAGCACTTGGCTCCTAGGTCACTATGAGGATTGAATGAGTCCAGATACGCAAAGAGCTTAGAATGATGTCTGGTGTTCAGCGAATACTCCATTGCCAGTGTGAGGCTCCCACAGCTGCCACCTGTAGTTACTACTCTGAAATGCTATTGACAAGGGGAGGAGAAGACATGAAAAACTGTCCCATTCAACACAGTCTGACAAGGGGAACCTTGTCCATTGGCTCCATTCTACTTAATATCAATACTTCTGGCCACAGGAGGACAAGTGGCAATACAAAATTGCAACTCAAAAGGATTACTTATTTACCTTAGATTTTACTTTCAGAATCTCAAGGTGGTCAGAAACCCATATGTATAAGAAAACATATGACTTAGCTGTGGATGGCTTATAAGCAGCCCCCAACACCACCCACACTACTGAGACTGTCACTGACGGGGACACTGGGGTGCTTCAGTAGTACCCAGAAATACTGCCCTGACATGTGAAGCAGCTGACTATTATACACTCCAATAATCTTGCATCACACATTTACACATTCCCCACAGTCAGAATATTCCCCCACTTCTCTCATTTCTCAGATCTCTACCCATATTACCTGAGTTCATTTTTATGAACTTCCATGATTTTTCTTTCCAGCTTCTGTGACTGCTTGGGGAAAATCTCAAACTCACTGATGTAATTCTCAGGATGCTCATCAGGATCGTAATCACCAAGCTCAGCTGTAACCAGCAAAAAAGGAAAACATCATTAAAAACACTACAAGCAGGCTGCATATGGAATAGCACCTGCTCTCCAAAAGTACAATTTGGACTGTGTTCCCCGCCAAAGTGGCCACGTGCAGACCACAACCTGAGCCTCTAGGCCAGCGGGGGTGAACCTGGCAGAGTTTCCAGTAACAAAGAGCTGCTGCAGCATGCACACCACAGGCTCACCACCACTGGTGTGGACTCTAGAGACTCACGCGCAGGATGAGGCTGAGCTGTCCAGCTTTACACACTGGTCAGTCTCCCCTGTGCTTCCTTCTCCTTATCTATATGTTAAAGCACACTTTATATCACTGTTTCTCAGTGGGGACTCCATTTGCATTTGGAGGGGTTACACGGGTTTTTTAATTTTAAAAAAAATCATGTATTTATTTAGTAAGTAAGCACATGGCCTCAGTACGCAGCTCAGACTCAGTGATCCTCATGTCTCAGCCTCCCCAGCACTGGGATTACACATGTGCTCCACCACGCTCGGTTTCAGCAACCAGCATAGTATAGGACCAGCATGGTATGCGGTACCGGGGATCAAACCTCGGTCCCTATGCTTGCTAGGCAGGCACTTAGACTTCCAAGCTACCTCCCCAGCCCCCACAATTTTATTATTTCAGATTTCCCAAGGAATTATAGGATGCTTAGCATTTCTACCCTTTGGACACTCAATGTCAATAATCACTATTATCATGATAGTCAATCTTGACTACCGACTTGATTGGCTTAAGTAACACCTAGGAAATTAGTAAAGCACCCTTGCAGGCCATGTAGAAGGATCATGGGAGCACGAACCTGAGGACGCTATCTGGTCCCTCATCTCTTCCTCTCTTGCACCGTTCTCCTGCTTGGTTTTCTGGCCACCATGAACTGAGTATCTTTGCTTCTCCACACCCTCCCACCTGGATGTGTCTGCCTGGGAACCAGCACACTACGGAGCCCTCTGAAACCATGAGCCAAAGTAAACCTCTCCTCCTTCAAGTTGCAAGTGTCACTTTGTTCCAGAGACAGGAAAGCTGACCAAATCAATGACGGTCAAGAACATCATACCCAAAAGTTAGCTACATGACACAAAATACGTATCCTTTTACTTGAATTGGAATATGCACAAGAAATCTATTGTATAATTTAGTGAATACAACTGAAAATTATATACTACATTTTCAAAAGTCTCTGAAAGTGTTGATTTTAAGTGTTCGCACCACAAGAAATGATAAGTATATGGGGTAACACATAAGTCAGTTAGCTCAGTTTAGTCACTTAACATTGCATGTCTATTTCAACATCCTGTCGCATGCTCTAAATACATATACTTTTTATTTGTCCATTAAAAATTGAAAAACAAACTGTCAATCCTCTCCCGTGTTTCCAGTGTTCACAGGATAACTATCTACCTGGACTGTTGGCTCTGAGGCTTGTGCAGTACGGCTTATTCAGCGAAAAAAATCACAACATGAAGGAACCTAAGGAGAACTGCACTTAAAAATAAATGGATTGCTCTCTAAATTACAGACTACTTAAGTACAAAATAGCACATTGGATGAAAATGATGCCTTTTATCACAAGGAAGTTCTGGAAACTTCCAGGGTGAAAAGAAATGCCTGTACCTCTCAAGCACTTTGAGGGCCTAGGAGAAGTGGGTGTCCAGCCCTCAGCTTGGAGGTGCAAAGGTGATGTCTGACCATGAAGACCTTTATGACCTCTGCACCTGTGATAAAAATGAGCAGAAAAGGGTGCTAGGGAGATGGCTCAGTGGAATAAGTGCGCCCCTGGCAAGCGCAAGGGCCTGAGTTCAATCCCCAGTTCTACCAAAAAAAAAAGCAGAAAAGCAAGTATCTTGGGCAGAAACAAGCCCCACAAGAGGAAAATGAACATGCTGAGAAAGCTGTAGCACACAAACTTTTGCACCAACATGACTGAAGTAGGAAAAAATAGTATGGATGGAGCATGTCTATAAAGTGGCATCCACCTCTATAATATTTCTATTCTTCCATCATTGTCAAGTCATTCAATAACTGCAAAATGCAGCTCTTCAAAGCTTCTTCACAAAACTTAAATTTCAGTTCTTCAGAAAACCTAAAGATGCAAAGATATCACGTGAAAAAGGGTTTTTAAATAAGAACCATGGGACTGGAGATATAACTCAGCAGTATAAGCGCCTGCGTGGCAAGCACAAGGACCCAGGTTCATTCCCCAAAGCTGCATGCCATGTTGGCCCCAGAGTCCCAGGTGCACTGTGCAGGCCACCAAAACCAGGCATGCTGGCATACATCTGTAATCCCAGGGCTGGGGAAGCTGAGATAGGAGTATCACTTTAAAGCTCAGCTTCATAGCAAGACCCTGTACCAGATAAATAAATAACAGATTTTTTAAATTTAATAAGTAAATGAGATCCAAAATGCTAATGATCATAGATTGGACATTGATTAATTGCATAATACCAAAATTAAATATTACTTATTATTAAAAGACATTGTAGACAACATAGGAGAGATGTCAAGTTGAAATAATATATTTTCAAACTCTAAAGTTTATGAGAGTTAATGTCTATAACAAAAAAGAAATTCTTGCAAATCATGGAAAAATGGGCAGGAAGATCCATAGAGAAATGGTCAGAGACACAAGTGGGCAATCCACAGGAGTTGAAACTCTATCGGCTGGTATATGGAGAGATGCCCAAACTCCTTAGTAATCCAAGACATGCAAACCAAAACAAGATGTCACTTGGTCTCCATAACATTGTCAAACATTAAAAAGTTGGTGAAAATACAAGGAAACAGAAACACTTGTGCACTTCTGGGGAGTCTTAATACATGTTGTTCTTCTAGAGAGCAAGGTGGGAGTAGTTAGCCAGTATTATGACTCAGAAATCCCTCTCCTGGGCATATATCCTAGAAAAACTCTGGGTGCAAGAAACGATATGTGTGAGGTGCTTTTGAATCACAGCATCAGTCATGATCATCACAAGCTTCTCAGGTGTATGTGTTGGCTGGATCTGTAAGTAAAGCATGGGAGATGCCCCTGGCAGGACATCTGCGGTGGTGAGAAGCAGTGAAAGATGTCACTTGAAATGTAGAGAGTTCTTCAAAAACAGTATTCTGAGCATAAAAAGGAAGAAATGAGACGGAGTTTGGGCATCTCTCCATATACCAGCTGATAGAGTTTCAACTCCTGTGGATTGCCCACTTGTGTCTCTGACCATTTCTCTATAGCCCCGCCTAGTTGATGAAACTCATACACAAAAAACAATAGCAATTATTTGAAAAGGCAGTATGCCAAGGCAGAGATGAACCTGAGAACCTGAGTCCAACTGCTGTGTTTAGGCGGACAAAAAGGGAGAATTTAAAAATGGAAATCAACTATCAACAGATAGGCTCAAGGGAACCAGTAACGAACAGGAACCATGAACTGATGATTGGAATCTAAGTTCCAAAAAAGTACAGATAACATGCCGTGTCCACACACACACATGCACATACATACACATGAGTGGCCCTCCATGAGCCGCCTATGGACCTAAGTACTTAGGAAATGATCCAATCCAATGCTTCCGTTTTCCACAGGTGAACCACCCAGACAAAACTCAGTCATCTTCAGAGAACCTGTCAGCTTGGAGAGGGGTTGGTGAGGTCAACCCACGTTTGTAGGAAGTATTTCTCTTTGCAAGAAAACTGGTGAAGTACAATAGACTATAAATACTGCAAAAAGAAGCCTGAAGATGACAGGAAAAAAAAAGAAATGCATGGAGAGTGCACAGGACTCCAGATACAGGACAACACAGTTTCCTGAAGGAGATCTGCTAAGGAGCCTTGCCTGACCTGTACTTGCTGGCTTGGAAGCTGCCGGAGGCTACTCACAGCAAGGACTGAGCCTGTGTGTCCCCCCATTTGGTCATGGACACGTCATCATGATGGTTGATTTATCTGTTTGTCTTCCTGCAAGGACATGTCTTGCAGTGCCTACTACCCAGTGGCTACTCAAGAAATGCCTGGAGAACCACGAACATATAGCTGAAAGAGGTAATGAGTATCTTCTCAACAGACTGATTTCTCCCTAGTATAGAGGGAAAATATTCATGGGAGCAACTGAGGCAAGTATCCTACCTTAAAAGATTTGGTGGAAAAGTTACTGTGTGCCAGACACAGGAAGGCTGCAGTGAGAAAGGCTTCCTGAGACTCACTCCTATGGAACTGGACTCTATGTAAGACCTGGAATGTCCCCAAAAGGTATATGCATCAAACATTGGTCCTCAGGCTGATGCTACTAGGAGGTGAGAAACGTAAAGCAGAGTACAATGAGAGGTATTTGGGAGCTGGGGTGTCCACAAAGGGGACTGTGAAATGTGGTCTCTTTGTCCTGTTTTCTGCTCCTGGCTTGTGCTGGGGGGAGCGGCTCTGCTCTGCCACAGGCCTGGTTCATGATCTGCTGTCTTACCTCAGATCCACAACCAGCAGAGCCCAGCAACTATGGACTGAAATCACCAAAACCAGGAGCCAATGGTACAGTTTTTCTCTTTGCAAGCTGATTATTTCAGGTATTTGTTACAGAGGTGGAAAGCTAGCTCAGGAGGAAACAGGAAATGAGCCCAGACCTGAAGCAACACATACAACACCCCCAAAAGGGGTACGGGAAAGAATGACAGGCAGGAAGGAGGCTGCCTGAGACAGCTCTGGAAAACTGCTTTGAAGAACAGGAAACAAGAGGAAAAGCAATTTATACAAAGAAAGATAAAATACATAGATCCCAAGAGTTTTGTATGCTTGTTTTACAACTTGTATTATGAAAGAAAATGCACTCTGTATGTATTGAATTTATATGCTGGACTTAGTAACTACAGATAACAAAACTCTGAGTGACGTTTTCTACACATGTTAAGTATACCAAAGCTTAAAACACATTGCTCAGAAGCACAACAGCGAGTTAGACTGTGAACCTTCTTGTGACTCCTGCATTCTAACCAGAGACTCTGCCTTCCCGTCACTGCATGGTTTTGACAATGTTCGTCTTTACCTGCATGTTCTGAACCTCCAGAATTGCTTGATATTGACCCTGAGCATTAGAGAAAGCTAAGGATCCACCTTTTAGTGAACTTGCCCTGAATGACCGAGAGAGACAAGAATGCATTCTAGAGAGGAAAGGTCTGCCAAGCCATTTCCAACTCTCCTCCCTTCCCAGTGCATGTGGCCTATGATAACCACCACGAGGATGAAGCAGGGCCCTGCTCCGTGTGGAGCCTCATGGCTTTATTTCAAATGTAACAGAGGATGGAGCACTTTCCATTACAGATCTATACCAAGCTTGTCCTCGGAGACGTGACAATAATTCATTAATGTTTAAATGCATTCTGAGATCCTCAGATGCTGACCTGCTGCTCGGATTAGTATCGATTCCCACTTCTCTCCAGAGACAGTGCACTGAACTGGTCACGTGCCCTCTACATCAGCAAGGAAGAAAATGCGACGTTCAACAACCTTCACTGGGGGCAAGCGAGGCCCCTTTTCAAAAGAGCAGAATCCTTCTGGCCACTTAACACTGCAATATCCCCAAGGAGATTCCTGCTGCTACCAAAATCTGCTACCTGTGGGTAGTGGGCATCTCCCAGAGAAGAGGAAAAAGCAACACACAAAACCCACTTGGGAATTCTCAGGGACCAAATGTACCTGGAAACAGGAAAAAAGGAACTACTTCACAGCTCAGGGCACCCCATAGCACCAGTGGGGACCCCGGTGAGATTCCCAGGAGAAAGATGGAATTCTTACTAAAATGGTGAATGAAGTCTGATGTCATGGGCAGTTTACGTCACCTGTGACTCACTTTGGCCCATGAGAAGCTTCTATGTTATTCTTTCTAGATCATCACAACGCTAACAGACTCTCAGAGCTGTGTACTCCGTCTCTCTCTCCTCCCCCTTCCCTCTCCCTCCCCTTCTCCCCCCTTCTTCTTGCTCATAAACGTATCATTAGCACTCAGACACAAATAGCTGTCATCAGGGTCCCTGCAGACTGTCCCTGGGGCCAGCCGCTTTCCACCAAGCCCCAGGCAATAGAACCCCTCAGCCACATGCTGCCTCTGGAGCTCCGGCCCCAGACACACTGTCCTTCCCAGGAGTAGCAGTCAAAAGCCACTCATGTCAGTGCACTTGCTGTCCCCTGCCATGACATGTTCAATGCTAAAAGGACAGCTACTAATGGCCTGGGCTGTCCTGCTGAAATCACAGTACCTAATGATGAGATGCGGCCAACTTGTCTGTTACACGCAGATGCCATGGTTTAGAGAACTTGAGCAACTTGTCTACAGGAAATAACCAGGAAGGGAGAAGGAAGATTCAAATGGGGCTGTCACAGCTTGTGAAGTTCCTGTCTGCTCACTTCTCACATGCGTGGCTGGGAAAAGCTATCGGATTAGACAAGACACACAGGAGTCCGTATACACAATGCATCATACACATACACAGAACACGTGAAACGTGTGTGAGGGTGTCAGGGATGATGGCTACTTTTCTGAACATGTTTCCTTCTCCCTGTGCCTATCAGGCCCCACCCTGTTGATTGGAGCTCAGGACATAGAAACCCATACCACATCAGAGCTTGTAAAACTACAAGTTCGACTCTTTACAAAAGCAGCTCCCAAGCTCTAATGTAGGCCTTGAAGGGTGCTTTGTATCTGCAGTGGCCACTGTAACCATCTCAGTCCAGCTTCTTACTGAGACCCCAGGAGCTCCAGAGGAAGCAGAGGCCTCTGCTGCTGAGTGTACAGCCCCAACAGGCCCTCCCTCATAGACACAAAAGGGGTGGGCACAGGAGGAAAGGGCGGCACCCACCGGCAAAGCTCGACAGCCTGGCACAAGGGCGGCATGGGCACACAGGGTCAGACTCACCTTGAATGATACAGGCACCCAGGTAGGCAGCGTCGGAAAAGGAACACAGCAGTCGACCATGAAAAATGTCACGTTTGATCTGTAAATACAAAAGGTACCTGCAACACAAGAGGAGAAACACTGCTAAGCCTTGGCAGAAGCCTGGAGGAGAAGGGCTGCCTTGCAGAGCTCACCTGTGTCACCAGAGCGCTGCACAGCAGCCCGAGGGAGCAGCTCAGACTGGCCTGGCCTGGCCTAGACAGGCAGAGAAATGTTTGTGTGGAGGGTTTCAGGATAGTGAAGCCCAGTATGTGCCAGACAGATCTTCTCAGCCTCCAAAGAAGCCCAGGGTCAGCTGAGAGAGATATAGGGCCCAGCAGCCACTGTCCCCAAACTGTGACAGACACACCATCATCTCCTAGCAAGTCCTTACTGCTCAAGTCTTACTTGAAAAGGAGAACTGAGAATGCATGGAATTCATATAACAAGACCATCATCTCTCAGGAGAGATGGACTCATATTCATCAATCGAAACAGGTGCGGTACTAAAGCCAGAGAGGCCGGGGGTGCACAGGTGCAGCTGGCTGCATTGGGCCCCAGTCCAACACTTCTGGGGGTGAAAACTCAGGCACAAGTGGCAGCCAGAGAAGGACTGATCTGAAGCGCTGGGGAGGTGGCGGCCAAGCAGGCTCTTCGAGGCAGGCAGGGAGCAGCTCCTGCCCCCTCACCTCTCAGGGAGGCAAAAGAGATCTGTCCAGTTTCTCAAACTGAATTTACAAGTGAAAATTCTGGGGTTTTAAGCGCTGTGCCATTGTTTCCAAAAGCACAGCAGCACTGAACAAAAAACCACTCAGGAGTCTCCAGTCTGCAATCTGCAGTTCAGGCATACCTCATTGCCATCCTCTTTGCGTCCTCTATGCTGGGCACGGCCTCTACAGAGTTCCTGGCCTTTCTTAGCCAGGTTGATGTTTCTACTCTAGGTTCAAGCCTGGGGTCTCTTGTTTCTCATCAAAGTAAGCTTCTTCCCAGTATTATTTCAGCATTTAAGTCCCAGAAACCAATGTAATTTTTTTCCTTTCTATGTTCTTGGGGACTGAAGCACCTCTCAGCCAGTCCTAGTGACCACCGGATGATGGTACACTGTATGTGTCAACCTGACTAGAGCGTGGTACCCAGGTATCAGCTAGGCATTATGCCTGAGTGTCTGTGAGGACATTTCCAGAAGGAATCAGTATCTGATCAGCATTTGCAAGACCCTCCCCAGGTAGGGTGGACACCATTCAGTCTGTTGAGGACTGAAGAAAACAGAGAAAAAAAGATTGAATCCATTCTGCTTGGTTGTAAACCAGGACACCCATCTTCTCTTATCCTCAGTGCTCCAGTTTCTAGGCTGTTGGACCTGGACTGGACACTATGCCCTCTACCTCAGCTTTTCAGACTATGCATTTGCTCTGCTGAGCCACCTGCTTGGCAGGCTGTGGAGTTTCTCGGCCTTCATACTCATGGGAGCCAACTCCTTATAATAAATGTTGGGGGGGAGAGAGAGAGAGAGAGAGAGAGAGAGAGAGAGAGAGAGAGAGACTCTAAGATGGATATATTATTGGATATATCATTGGGCACTTGTTAGGAGACTTCAACTCCTATGCTTAAGTGATTTGATCCTAACTCAGCCTTATAAAAAGTAACATGCACAACCCTCATTTTAAAGGCAAAGAAATAAAGGATCAGAGAGAGGGTGGTTAGTGTGCTTGGGTGCCAGATTCGGCCAGCCCTAGAGTCCAGCACTGTGCACACCAGAAAACTGAACTACATGGGGTGAACAGAAGGACTCAGTGGCTAACTGAGTTTTTATTCAGAAGCTTTTAACTTCATACCTGCTTCCTGCTATCACTGTGCTAAGCACTGGAGACACAGCACGGGCCCAGATGACAGTTTTAGTACAGAACTATCTGCAGGGAGTAAAGTCCCTAAATATTTTGTATTCATTTGAGTGTACATTGGGCCAAAGGAACAAGATGATACTTGGTAGGAAAGCACTCAGACTAGCTACTAAGCTAATATTCCCCCCCACTCCCTGTGCTTTAAACAGCATATGAGTTACTGAGATATGTAAGAATGGGGATTCTAATTCTGTAGGTTCTGAGGTAGGGCATGAAATTCCGCATGTCTTAATTTTTTTTTCGGGACCAGGGATTGAACTCAGGACCCTGTGCTTGCCAGGCAAGCACTTATTCTACCAAGCTATATCCCCGGCTGAAATACCACATTTCTAACAGCTCTCAGTCCATGCTGTGCTCCAGGACCACACTCTGAGTAATAAATTTTTAAACCTATGGTTCTTGACTTCAACTGTACATATTGGCCCTCACCAAAATTTGCAGGAATGGTCAATGCAGTATTATTGATTATAGCTAAAAAGTGAAAACAACCCAAACTGCTCATCCACTGACAAACGTACAAACACAATGTATTTGTGCAGTAGAATATTATTCGACCATAAAGATGAATAAAGAACTGATAAACACTACCACATAGATGAATCATGAAAGCATCATGATAAATAAAAAAGAAGCCAGACACAAAGGCCACATAATATATGATTCCACTTAAATGAAATGTCTGAAAAATAAATCTACAGAGAAAAAATAAAATAAGATCTTTGGTTTTCAAGGACTGAGTGGAAGGGAAGATATAGGAAGAGTGCTTGGATAGCAGGAGTAATAAAAAGTCACAGAGCAGTGACATAAACTTGTGACTATGTCATAACTCACTGAATGCACACATTACAATCTTCTGAAAGAAACTAATACTGTCCAAAATCCCAAATGTCTTAGATTAATAGTGCTCAATTTTGGGCAACATTTTAAACTATCTGGAAGACTTACAAAAATGCAGACTGCTTGACTCATCGCTGGAGTTACAGGAACAGGGACCAATGTTTAAATAATGCTGATCTGACTGGCCTGGGGGCCTCAGTCTGAAGATCAGGGCCCTAGAGCGTTCCGAATACCAAGGTCACACAAACACTGGAAATGGCTGGAGAGATAGCTCAGAAGAATAAGTGCCTGCTTAGGCAAGCACAGGGACCAGGGCTCAATCCCTGGTACCAAATGCTGATCTCGCCCCACTCCTGGGTGTACTGAGTAGGCCACCAAGACTGGATGTGGTGGTGCTGGGGAAGCTAAAAACAGGAGGATCATTATGAGTCTGAGTTGTGTAGTAAGAAATGTGCCAAATACATTTTAGAAGAAGAAAGAAGAGAAACAAGAAGAGAAGAAGAAAGAAGAGAAGGAGAAGGAGGAAGAGG